GCCTTCCAAATTTCAATTTTCTGCTGTCAGTGGTTTTGTTCCGATGCATGAAATGACTTTCCTTTCTAACTTGCCGGATGTTGTGGTTTCTCGTTCTGCCTCAATTGCACATGCGCACTCCGAATTTCAATCATCGAAATACTTTAATATTTCAGCCGGAACGCAACTACACAGCAGGCGGCTATATCAAATATACTTTTTCTGTAAACTACTGTCAAATATAAAAGATATTATTTTCTAACAATTGTAAACTCTCCAGGATTGAAACGAAATTATAGTGTGTGTTTAATCAGTCTATTTGGCTTCAAGTCTGCAAGATTGATACCTATTTTTTTTAAATTTAATTTTAATATACAAAGTGCTTTCTTTCTTCATGTTCCCTTTTTGCAGTTCACTTTTATAATTTAAAAAAAAACCGTATGTGAGATATTTGCAGAACTTTAATCAATAATCATGCTTTTTTGTTATATTGAAGAGATAACAGACGCCATCGGACTGTTGAATTGTCATAATATAGAATGAAGTATGTTCTTTTAAAAAATGTATATGTAGAATCAGCTGAACTCAGCTTCAAACTTGGTCAAAACTTTCTTATTTTGTTGTAACCCATCCCATAGTTTTTGTTGCCCCAAGCAGATATTGAGACGTTCGTTTCTAATTTTTAAATTGTCCTTACACTAGGCATAACTTTCTACCAAGGAGACAACATGGAAACTCATCATTCGAAGAACACTTTGATGTTATTTTCGTTCTAGTTGCATCAGTATTTCATAAATGAGAGACTGCAGAAACATTCATTAACAAAATTCACTTTTTTACGCTTAAATTGATTTTTCCTTAATTTTGTTTTTCTAGCTACAGCTTCATGGACCAGATTGTGTCTGCATGATCACATAATGTACTGTGTTATCCAGTGAAATACCCGTGTCATATATGTTTGCGTATTAACCCATGTTGTATGACCTATCAGCCCTGTGATTGGTTGTAATCAAGTTTCAATTGTTTCAATTGTGACGTCACGCCTTTGACAAGAACATGACGTCACAGACTTACGCACTGGAGACAAAATGGTGGCTTTCTACATTTCCAGATTACATGAAAATTGTCGTTTTACACATAAATGTCAGATATCTTGATTATATGATAAAAAGGATCTTACACTCGTTTTCATTTCATATGAAATTTGTGAAACTTGTCACGAATTTTTCATTTGAGCTCGGCAAAGACTAGCTAAGTTGAAAAATTCTTAAGACTCGTTTCATAAATCTCATATGAAATGAAAACTCATGTAAGATCCTATATATGATTTTCGACGTTAAATACGTTGTTAGACGTTGCTTTTGACGTCACTTCCGACGTCAAACATATTGGCGCGTCATTGTTACAACCCGCCCCGAATTACAACCCACCCCGCTCCCCCATACAGTATTTATTTTATTCTAGCAAATACATGTTTGAAAAATAAAACTTACACTCCACATTAGATACACTCAGACTTCCCATAGTAAGTTACCTCCCCGACAATTGATTCACTAAAGCAACTCGTTACTTTAAACTCATCATAGAAACTCAAACCAATAGACTCGTCATATAAACTCATTATATTAGACTTCACAATATAGCAACTCATTACTTTAAACTCGTCATAGAAACTCATTACAATAGGCTCATGAGAGAAACTTGACCTGGGTTCGATTCTCTGATCGGACGTAAAAAGGTATGGATCACCTGTCCGACCACGTTGGTTTTCTCCGGGTACTCCAGTTTCCACCTACACCAAAACACCCCTGTGCGAGATCATCATGGCACCAAAAAAAAGTGACATAAATGCTGAAAATATTGTTCATAATTGGCTTGTTAGTCAAATAAAGTCTATCTAAAAAGTGCACGATATTTATTCAGCTATTTGTGTATACTCTAGCAGTAAAGAGCTGAGTAGTATGGTTTCCGCGATCCCATACATTCCTAGTCGGACACTCTACCACTGAGCTAACGGAAAATTCCCTCTAGTACTCAAGAATTCATGATCATCCCTCATGTATTGTAGTGGGTTTTATGTCAAAGTGAAACCCTGCAACTTCATGGATACCAAATGATGATACTGGAGGAAAAAAACACTGATGCGCAACCACATGGATGGTAAATTTTAATTTAAGTTTTACTAAACATTTGGCTGACATATTATGATAGTACTGATACGGATTTTTCTGATTGTTATAGACATCGGCGGGTCAGTATTACTCTCAGCGCAGATTGTAAATGGACTAGACTTATCAAAAAATATTTGTTCTGAAGCATTTAAACAATTTGAAAGCTATTATAAATAGGAACATACTAAACAAAATATACAATATGTTAATCCTATCACGGACTTAGATAGCTAATCTAATTCCTTGATTCTACCATTTCTATAATAAGAGTGTGAGACCAGGAGTGTGTGTGATCTGATGCTGAATTACTCGATACATGTAAAGTCCATTTAGAATAAGCACGAACAGCAACAAGCCCCGGCTCAAGGACGAGATCTTAATCTCTTCTACAAAATATACATCAGGCGTGTCCCCCCTATTTTACTCGCCTACTCTCTCCTCGTGTCGAAATAAAATAAATTACAATGTAAAGGGAAAACGAGCATCCATAAATAGAATAAGACACATGTTGTATTACAGCAGTTGATTCACGTTTTATCGCGAAATCAGATTCAATCTGTTGTTTTATATTGTTTAAAAATGTAGTGCAACACAAATCAATTCGGTTTAACTACAATGCCATCGATTAACAAAATGTTATGGGGATGGGAGGAGGAAACACGTTAGTTGGAATTTTCGTAATACGTAATTATGACGTCATAAAGCATGCACCATCATATTTTCTTGTATCTGTCATGACCTCGCATATTAAAGCGATACAAAAAGACAATGCTAGACTTTAAACATATTTTTGAATATATTATTATTATTATACAAATTATACTAGTTACACTGGTAGACCTAGATGTCGAGGGGGCAAAGATTTAATATTAGGAGTTGCCCAAAATGTTCTAAACAGATTTTTGCACTTATCTGTTAGTAATATATTAGAATTGTAATGGCGGTTCTGCAGGTATACTAATTTCTGCCAACACAAATCCAGAACTTTTTTTCTTCTTCTAAGATTAGGCAGAGACGTATAAAGTGTGTTATATACGTCTCTGGATTAGGACAATTATACTTTCACTGCCGAGCGGAGCAAGACGAAGATTTTTGTTGAAGATGTAATACCAAACTGTTTTAAGCACTGCCGAGTGTAGAAAAGCGAGAATTCATCGGACATTATTTCCATTGACCAGAGACGTATACGTGTATTATACGTCTCTGCATTGATCGAGTGAGGGCTTTTCTGTAGATTCAGTAATGCTGCACTGTAAATAATGCACTTTGCAACCGATGAGTCGAAAGACTTAGGTAATAAATAACTTGAGTTTGAACTTGACATGTACATGTATTTTAATATCTATTGTTTTGTCATAAATATGAATTATGATTTAACTGTTTGACGATCTTTTATTGAACAAGGACAACACCCTGACAAATAGTAAATTATGTATTTTAAAAAATGATCTTATCAAAAGGATGTACACGCCAAGCATTTATGCTAACATTGGTTATCAGTCACCTGATGAAGTAATGCTAAGGAGGGTGCTTCATTGTCTTTGAAATTTTGGAAATTCATATCTTTTAATTGGTATAATAAATCACTCCTGGTGACCATGTGTACTGGAAACCACATGTGAACTGTCATGAAATTGACTCTACCTTTAAATTAACACTTTACCATGCTATATACCTGATTCCAAAAGATGGTATTCCGTCTTTGCATATTGCAGAGTTATCTTCTCTTGGGAGCAGGGATTGATTGTTACGTCACTTGTTTGTGAGAGTAACGTCATCAATTTTTGAGAAAACGACGTAATTTTCTCACACAAACCCATGACGTAACAATCAATACCTGCTCCCAAGAGAAGATAACTCTGCAATACGCAAAGACGGAATAGTCCTCTCCCTACTGACAGGGTGATCACCACACCGTGACATTAGAACAATAATATTAGGTAGAGTCTGGTGAGCCTTGACCACTGACCTGACGGGTGGAGACCCTACTGATTAGACATTGGAGGATTAATCCCCTATTGTTTAGAGTATAAGTAGTGGACTCATCGTATGGATAACACCCTTAGGCATATGTAGATATTCAAACTGATGGCAAGGGGAAGCCATAGAAAATCATAGTTCAGGGGATGGTTGATATTAGAAGGAAATCCCATATGAAATAAAGGAAAGTCTTCAATAACCTTGGTCCAGATTATTTTTGGACACAGAAAAAAGGATGTTGCCCGGGCAACTAGATCGAGCAACACCCCTGGGTCCGCCCCTGTAATGTATACCGTCAGGTGCAGCAGTCATGGATATTCCTTCAAGTCGAGTGAGCTAATAAGATCCTCAAAATTTAGAGTATTTGCCCAAGATCGAAAATATGGGGCTGGGCTTACCTTTTGGGTAATCTCCCCTACCTACACTATCATTAAAGCTTTGGAGAGGAAACTAATAAAAAGAACGATACTCACTGATAATATTGTATTTGTATTGTCTTCGTTAGGTAATGTTTTTCCCCTCGTTACAGGCTAGAGATAATGCATTGAACTATTTGAGAATTGTATCCCCATATATATTAATTTGTCGTACGACCTTATCCTCCGTTCAAAGGGAGGGAATTGGTAGATTTTTTATAACACATTTTGTGTTATATACTTCTTTGGCAGTTGTCAGTAATTTCTACATGTAACGGAAAAGAGAAAAGGGTGTTAAAACATTTTTTCATACCAGAAGTGGTATTATATTTATAACTGATTACTAAGCGATAACAATCTGATTGTAATTCATAAACGTTTCGATTCTTTCTTAATATAGATTCCGCAAGATATCACAACACGTTTATTGATAAACGCAGAGAGGACCCGGAGGTATTAGTTTCGGCGGGGGCACCTGTCACTCGACATCTGCTGATGAGTGTGGATGCTGTGAGTGTGGTGATGTGACAAGAATCTACGATGGATACCACGGAGCAAACGCAAACAACTGTTGCGGTGGTTTCATCGGTGTTGACACCTTTGCAGGTATGCTCTTGGCGTTTAGTGTTGATGATGGAGATATTTTCACGGCTTGAACCCGTAATCGATAGTGAATGGCGGGCCGGTGAATAGCCGATGCCTGTGATTTAATTTACGCTACGGTGTTGCTGGTTTTTATCGATATTTTAAATGCTTGTGACACGCACGTGGTATTTTTTTGACATTTTTCATTTGAAAAGTTCTGTTTATTATTGTCATAAGAAATTGTCAACAACCGGTATATGATTCAGTCAGTATACTGTAGTCGCTATTAATTTTAATTAACTTTTAAGCACATCTTTGGTTTGCTAAATTAACGAAAGTTTGTCGTTATAAGTCACGAGCTCAGCCTTTTAAAGTAGATTGATTTTGATTTCATCACAATTTTTTCACTTGAATGACATCAATATAAATCCATATTAAAAGGTTGAACTTGCAATCAGTTAAGAGAAACTTTCTTTATCAAATAAATATAATATATATATTAATGAATGTAATGAATTTTAAAAACTTGTTGGTATTTAATGAATGTATGGTGATGTGTAAAAATCAAATATTACACTAGTCTATTACAATGTATTCTTTATTTTTTTTAACTTTTTGTTCAGGACTGCATGTTCCTCAATTTCTTTCTCATTTTATTTACACTAAAAATCAAGTGCTCATTTTGAAAAGAAAAGTCCTTCATAATTTTTCATTAACAGGTTAGTGAGTAATCATGGATTATGAATGTACAGTGTAGATGACTTTTTTTTAAGTTTACAGATCTAAAGTCCAAATGAAGTTACTGAAATTTAACTTTAAAATATCACTGGTTTTATTGAAGAAGGTAATGGAAATTGATGCAAATATTGAAAATAAACCTCCATCAATTCAGCTATGCATTATTATGTAAATTGTTATTTATGTATGAAATGATGGTCATATATGTATTGATAAAGCTGGCTTGACCAGTCATTGAAACATCACACAAATAGTTCACTGGTTGTGCTGTATGAAACTGTATACAACATATATGTAGATTGGATGAGAAATGAGATAACAATTAACTGGAAGAAAAAAGTAAAAATACAATGTATAAAATTGGATGAGAAATGAGATAAGAATAGTTCACTGAAAGAAAAGAAAGAAATAAAACCTACCATACAGTGTAAAATGAAGTAAAATGAATTAATCACCAAATGCTTTTGTCACTGTACATAGTGCTGGGAATCGGTACGATTTTGAAGATTGATTATTGGACATTCAAGATTGATCGGTAATCGATTATCGGTTGAAATAAGCGCCAAAAAGAATACATTAAATAAATTGGCATTTTGTCCAAATTATTAAAAAATATTGATATAACTAATTGTTATTTTGCTAATAACTTTATCTAAGAGACGTTCATATGATGAAAAAAAAGGATATTGACAATGACCAATTTGAGAAGTGAACATACCTTGACAATGACCGTTTGAGAAGTGAACATACCTTTTCCTATCTCCTGCAGACGAGATTGTAACACAAACAAATCAGGTTATGCATTTTGCAAATTGGGTTAAGTACTTGATATGATATTTTTTATTGTGAATTAAGTTAACCCATTTGAAATTGAGTCAAATTTAGTTGGTACTGTAAAGTTTATGTCCCACCATCCCTTCGCTGAAAAAGAAAGTTTTTTCATTCCGGTGGATGCTATTTGCTGTACATCAGGATTTTGTCAGGTATAAATTTAGCCATACCTACAAAACACCGCACTGACCTTGATTATGTAATAACGCTATAGCTACCACGCTTGAATGCTGTCATGATTTAAGCGAGAATCAACAAGAACGGATGAAAGGGACGTTTTATTTTGGATTAAACATGAAAAGCAACTGTATGTATCTTAAGAATTTCAGCTGTTCATGACAAACCTACAAAAACGATCTTCTTCATGACAAAGTTTCAAAATCGATCTTTCATGTGCTAAATCGATTATCGAATCGACCTCCTGTCAAGCTCGATTTAATCGATGTTTCCGGTTATCGGTACACCACTACTGTACATATACTGTAAACATGGAATATTACACATGATAGAAATTTACACTTTTTACATGGAAATGGTTCATGTGTAAATTTCCCTCACTAATTCCATATGGTTTCATCAATGTCTTACTGATCAGATACATATAGTGTATGTGATTAACTCTTGTCATATTTTTTGTGTTTATAAATTTGAGCATTATTATAAAATGAAAGTTTTTCTTGTGAAACCAATTTTGATGATGTAATTTATGATTCCCTAAAGTATGCATATATCTTAACCACTTATACCATTCATTTGCATGAATTGATATAAAAGAAAGAAATCCTAAATCCTCTCTTGGGAGGCCTTCTACACTGGCTGCATATGCATGCATGACATGGTATTCCTTCCTTTGTCAAAACTGAGGAAACACAAGATAAATGGGAAAAGGAGAAAGTAAAAGAAAGTTTGAACTCTATATAGCTATAAGTAAGTATTTCATCAATAAAATTGGTTTTGCGAGAACATTTTCATTTTTTTTCTGTAAATTGCTAATACCATTACTTTAGTATGCAAATTGGATACACAAGCGAAATCATCCTTTTACAAAAGGGCCGAAAAAGTTCCACAGGGGAGTCAATAAGGGCCTTTGGAAATGCCGAAAGCCAAAATGTGATAAAAACCTGCCTGTGGACAGACAACACCAAATGCATTTGTAAAGTACTGATTGATAGAAGGCAGAGGAGAAACAGACTGTGTCACAACAACAGGACCCAGTGAAACAGGATTGTTGGAAACCAACACCATAAACCCTAAGAAAAAGTCAGGAAAACTTAAGAAGTCTGGCCCGGCCAAAATGCAGCAGACCTAACATCTTGAAAGAAAGGACCAGCGAGAAGAGCCCAAGACACTCTAGGTCTGTCAAGACCAAAAACCCTAATCGAGGTTGTAAAGAAAAAGTTGTGTTCTTTTTCAGTCTGCCGTGAAAGGTGAAGACTACAGAAAGAAAAAAATCTGATTGATTTGGTTTGGTTTGATTGTGCTTTACAACCTAGTAACAGCTATGATTTTGGAGGAAAACCAGAGTACCAGGAGAAAAACCTCAGACCTGCAGCCAGTACCTGGTGACTGCTCCATGTAGGCCTCAAACCTGTGACCCAGCTAGTGATCGTATATGGTCAGATGCCTTAACCACTCTGCCAATGTGTGCCGGGCCCATAAACCACATTTATCTTGTGATGCTGCACAAAAGCCTTCCATATGGAGGCCTCCTGTTATAGCCTTCTTGCATGTATAGGTGGATGGTTCATGGATCTGGATACACAGCCTTGAGCAAAGGCTGCCAGAGCAGATCCTGACTGGAAGGTAACAGCGGTGGCTGATCCAATAGAACAGTTAATAGCTCGAATTCCGTCTTGTTACTTCCACAAAGGATCTTTAAGAAAGGGAAAACAAGAATGCTTCCGAAACTTCTGAAACACCCTGCCAACCATGTTGAACAAAGGAGAGCAGAGATATAGAGCATCTACTACCATAGCCATTAAGTCCAGAACTGGAGAGAACAATGAATGGTGGTGGTGGAATGGAGGGAAGAAGCAAGTCGGGGGTTAGGTCTAGCCTTCTTTGTGGCAGGCTCAAAACCCTGTAAAGAACTAGAACTGCTAGGTTTTTGAAAAGGTTGCTCTGCACAGAAGGCACGACACCACTGAATACGGTAAACATTCTGTCAGTTCGAACAAAATCAAATAAATATTGTCAATCCTGTTCGAATTACACGAAATTATAGCCGCTAAAATAAAGATAAAGAGTAGTTTGAACTATCCAAGTTGACATCGGCAAAAATAACGGCAAACAGTCAAGGCATTGATACGGATCAACAACAGCCTTATTACGATATATATTTGCAAATCTGGAGATGAATAATGGTATATATATCTTTATTATATTAACTTACATATTGATAATCAATTATTAAGTTCAATTGCAAAGCAGAGACAAGTATGTAGGATAATGACGAAAGTTCAGTTGTACTGATCAGAATGCGGAGGGTGGATTGAAACTGCAATTACGGATTAATAGTTTGATCGACCACCTGGTCAGATATTTTTGTTTTGGCACATGTATAGGTAATATATCAATTGAGTTATAAATCAGTGATCAGTGGCAAGGTTGCGATTATATTATCAAATTGTAATCACAGTAATATCATGACAATACACACATCTGTCAGCGATGTGATGGTAACATTCCTCGCTCCGTGAATTGTTAGGATATTATACATGGTCAGGGCCTAAAGATGTTTGACTGGCACGTGCACATGTTTACAAGAAAGAAACTCAATTATCGGTGACATGTGACTTATTTGTACAAATTGTCCTACATTGATGACAACAATGGTCGCACATGAGTACTACCCGTTATTCAGTAGTTAAATGCTTTCGATGCACAAATAGATTGAGTTAAAGTGAGTTTTGCAAGGCTATTATTGCATCACCGATAGCCAAATTTGATCAATAATTACATAAGTAAAGATACTTCTTTAATATCCATTTGGTCTGTGTTTTATGGATACACTAAAGTCAAGGCATAACAATGGAACATCAATGCAATTCCAAGAAATTGTACCGCCCCGTAACAACTGAGAGTAGAACAGGACACTTAGAGGAGATACGTCAGATCACATGCATCAAAAGAAACTAAATTACATGTATTTTAACAATATAAAGTACTCAACTCATTGTAGTCACCCTGGGTAAAATTACTAACATTAATTCCACCGCTACCATATTACCATAGAAGTGTTTTCACACAATTTTAAACGTGTCCATTATCTATCAATATGACTTTTGTTCATTTTTGTTCTTTCTTTCTATCTACAGAATTTGCTCGCTGGGTGCCTGCTCGCTGTTGGAGGAAACCTCCTCATTAGTCTGTCTCTGAACCTCCAGGTATATAAACCTACACTTAATATTTCAATAGATAACGACGGAAACTGGAATCACTATCAGGACAGCTATTTGTTCTCAAAATTTTACCTGCTTTTTTTTATTATTATAAGAACATGTCCAGATAAACAATCTTCTGCTTCCTTTTATCTTCATCAGAAATTTCTCTTTTGTTTTTCCTTTTCCTTTGATATACTTGCTGGATTTGAAGCAGGAAGTTGTCGATGGAATCATTCCTGCAGGAGTGGATGCCCTCGATATATTGCAGATGGTACTCCATGTTAATTTATATATCAGTCATGTAACACTCACCTGATGAAATGGTTCAACACATCCAGGAATACTTTTAGAATATGTGCAATGGACTGTAACAGAACTTAAGGTGATCGGCGTCCTGTCTACGTTACCGATGTAGTTTCCAGTTGGTTAGAATGTATCACTATGAGAGCTTATTGTTCACAGAAATACGCCCATGTGAGAAATGAGATGAGAATAGAGGCCATACACTACACCAGAGACTCCGTGTGGTGGGTGGGTGTCAGCCTGATGGCCTTTGGTGAGATTGGAAACTTCTCCGCCTATGGATTTGCTCCCGCCTCTTTAGTGGCACCTCTTGGGACTACCACTGTCATTGGTGAGTTTTCAGAAAATGTAAATCATTGGTTACTTTTCAGATCATGTGATTGATCAGATTAGCTATTGTATCGATCTTCATCTGTCCTCATCCATTGTCTTTTTACATTTCAACTTTTTCAACTTCTGAAAAACAACCGATTAGATTGACTTCAATACCTCGATAGAAGTGTTCCTTATCATGTCCTTACCAGGTGTTGTTACTTTATGTGTTGATCTGAAAATCCAAAATGGCATCCATGGCCTCTGATTGGCTTAGACATGGTAAACGTCTTCTGCTGCAACAATGCTTTTTTAAAATCTAATTTATGAGGTCTTGACCAAACGATTTACTTTTCAGGCTTGTCTAATTTGAGAATCTAAATAGCCAGCATGCCCTCTGATTGGCTGAGAACCTTTTAAGCAATTCTTGATTCCATAAGATCCATTTTAACCTGATGTGTTGTTGTTGGAAATAATAATCTCAAATTATCGAAAGCATATCAACCTCTTTTTATGCCCCCGCCATAAAATTGTGTTGTCCGTAGCGTCCCGTCCCATCCCATCCATGAGCAGGGGCATTTATGTCTTACAGACATTTTCTAGTCTTATACAGATATTAAAGAAATATGTGATACAGACCCTATATGCCTCTTGTTAACTTCAATCAGAGGTAATCCCCACTGAGGAAGTGGTGATGATCTTGTTCTATATCTGTAAATTGTTCAATTGAGAGTTACCTGTAACAAGCAGGAGGAAAGCCTCCAAATTGTCTATTTTGTGAAGAAAAGAGAATGCCCATAGGTAGGACTTAACCAGTCTCACAAAGAATGAACAGTTTCAGTAATGTTACCTATATATCAGCAGTAAATTATAATACCTGTACTGTTCGCTTTTTGAGCATAAGCGGTGAAGAATGGGAAACTTTTTATTTGATTTCAGGTTTGATAAAACAGAGCTCTTTTGGTGCCTTCTTAGTTTAGGCATCAAGTCCCTTTTGTCATGTCACGGGCCAGTGAATCTGAAGCTGTAAGGATTTCGCTAGGTTGTCGCTGTGTATATGGCTACTGTGAACATGCATGGCTGACTCTGTAATGTCTAGTACAGTGTGCCCATTGTATATATTCAGACAGAAATAATGTATTTCATACATTAAAGGACAGTTTTATAGGTATTTTGTTAGGCTTTTGTGTGATAAAGTTTTCAAAATATTGTTAAATTATCATTTATTTGGTCTACATGTACAGTGGTCTGTTAACGTGTATCCCCTTCGTATGGTATTAGTGGATATGTTGAAATTCTGGCAAATAGTTTGCAAAAATGTAATGTAACTACAGTCAAACCTGTCTAAGGAAGGGAACTAAATAGCTAGTAAAAAAGGCCACTGTAGATAGGGGGTCACTCTGTATACGTTATTGTCGAGTCTAGCTGTTGATCCGCATTCTTTCCAATAATATTTTATTTCTTAAATATTATGTGTGGGGAGAAAAAAGGATAAAACAATAAAATAATATCATATTCTATCAACCTTTTCAGTTAAAAAAAATGTAGAAAATGAATGTGCTACAGCTCACGAGCCATGCTAACCTTTTTGGACTGTAGATAGGGGGTCACTTGGACTTGGGTAATAAAATGCTCTTCATAAAATATTTATTAAATGCCACTCAATGGATAAACATTGAATTTTGACAGTTTTAATTCTCAGTTATCCCGTGTGTGTTTATTGCGTGAAGTGCTCCCTGAAAAGTTTACTGTTTATATCTTCAAAAAAATAAAAATACTATTAACACATTCCAGTTAAAGGATTCAGTGATGCGGAGCCATGTACTGTAATGCAGAGATAGAAAATGAGATTTTAACAAACAAGATTTTATGAAAGAAGCCAAATATTACTTGTTTAACCCTTTCAACCCTATGTAACTTTAGTAGACTCTGCCATGTATTGATCTGGTTGAGTCCATTATGGTCTACAGTGGTGAAAGGGTTAAGATCAAATAACATTATTATTTCCAAATATTTTATTGTTGGAAACCCTTCCAGCTTTGATTCTTTTTAATGTTGAGCATGTGAGGAATTTAAATCATATGCTATTTGTAAATAGCTAAAGAAAAGCAGTTCTTGTTTCTCGCACATTTTGATGAAGAAAGAATACTGTTGATAAAGGAAGACAGCCATTGAAGCAGAACCCTCAGAAGATGACATTGTTGTGTCAGGAGTCCAACAAGGAATAGTATTAGGACCACATCATTTCCTTTGCTAAAATCAACAGTCCGTCTTTTTGCCGATGACTACATACTTTATAGAGAGAAAAACCTCAAACAAGGACCATGATCGAAACACTTCAAAACGATCTCAAACAAGGACCATGAAACACTTCAAAACGATCTCAAACAAAGACCATGAAACACTTCAAAATGACCTCAAACAAGGACCATGAAACACTTCAAAACGACCTCAAACAAGGACCATGAAACACTTCAAAACGATCTCAAACAAGGACCATGAAACACTTCAAAACGATCTCAAACAAGGACCATGAAACACTTCAAAACGACCTCAAACAAGGACCATGAAACACTTCAAAACGATCTCAAACAAGGACCATGAAACACTTCAAAACGATCTCAAACAAGGACCATGAAACACTTCAAAACGATCTCAAACAAGGACCATGAAACACTTCAAAACGATCTCAAACAAGGACCATGAAACACTTCAAAACGACCTCAAACAGCTGGAAACTTCAATTTGGCATTTAACTTGGAAATGAAATCCAAAATATGCCAATTTTTTTTACCCACAGTACATTCGTTTTGAAAAAGCAAAACTTGTACCAGCTTAATGGACATTATTTTGATCATGTACAGGCAAATTCATACCTGGCATACCATTGTCAGGGGAAATGAAATGGAAAGAAAACAGCTGAAAAGATCAGTTCCACCCTCGGCTTTTTACAGCGTAATCTACAACACTGTCCCAGAGAATGTAGGAAGACAGCATGCATTGCTCTTGTTAGATCCGTCATGGAATACGGAGCTACAATCTGGGACCCATCCACAAACACAAGACATCAATAAATTGGAAAGTATTCAACAGAGAGAGTTGCATTTCATCCTGCAGACCTACACATATGTATAGAACACGGGAAGATGAATTGATGTAAGAACTCCTCAATGATCTGAAACTAGCATCACTAGCATCAAGACGAAAGCAACTGAGATTATTAACATTCCTTTATAAAATTGTTGAGTAGCAAATCTGATTAATGCCTAGCAAAGAGTTCATTCAATTCCAACATGAGAAAGGGAAAATTAATACAACAGCAGAAGTTCATGGACAGCGAGACATCAAGACCGATTCCAAATTTGATAAGGAACAATGACAGAGCAGTCATAATACCCAACGGCAATACAGAACAGTACAGACATGCAATCTTTGTGTGAACAGCCACAGACGGGAACCAGTTGGACAGTAAGGAACACAAGGAATAGAGACATTTAATGCATCAATCCCTACCAACTGAGACATACCTAAGCTAAATATTGGATGTGTACTTATACCCCCGCCGCATTAAGGCCATTCTGGTCTTTGTGGAGCATAGCATATTGTTAGATAGAAAATACAGGTGAAATTATTGGAGTATA